TTTTGATGAGTCACATTAGAACTTAGGTCTACATGTCTGTCTGTCTTCACTGCATTGTAAATTAATTAAGTTAACGAAAACTGTGACTGATCTCCTGTAACTACATTGTCTTTAAACCTGACTGACTGAATACCACTGGACAATAACACTGTTTGTGTGTGTGTGTGTGTGTGTGTGCAGGTGCTGTTTGCGTGTGCGGAGGCCCTCTATGCTCACGGCTACAGTAATGAGGCGTGCAGACTGGCCGTGGAGCTGGCCAGAGACCTGTTAGCCAACCCTCCGGACCTGAAGGTGGAGCAGCCACAGACTAAGGTAGATCCAGTCTGTCTCCGGCTTCTGTCTGCAGTTTCAATCTTCCAATCTCATCAGTCAGCATCTTAAATAGTAGTGGGGATATTGAGCATTTCTTTATAAAGGAAAGGCACAAGATTTGTATCTGCTTTAAATTAGCATCGTTTTATACTGTGCACAAGAGCAAAACCTATTAAATGTTCACTAAAACAAAGAAATTCATATTTTAATCTGCATATCGCCATCATCATCATCATCTATTCACAAGTTAAATAAAAATACATGTACAATCATGAGACATAATGGAAACATGTGAAATGGGACACCCCAATAAGCTATAGGAAGTGTAAGAACAGGCTTCCAGACAATACAAATATAACATTTTTCATTATATATCATTAATACATATGGAATTGAGAGTTCACGTATTTTTACGAAACATTACAACCCAAAAACATATCCCACACTGCTTTTCAGATGAAAGTTAACTTTTTGTCGAAGTCCACAGCAATTCAGCGTATTCAATCTCTGACGTGTGATGTTTGCTTAACCAGTGTTGCTCTAAGTGCTTTTAAAGACAGACACTTGAAGACCTCTGCAGTCCACAGACATGCGAGGGTAAATTAGTTGGGATAAGCTCCCAGAGTCTGTCATTTAGCATATTTTCTACATTGTACAGGCATATCAGACATCAAATATAGTTCCATGTCCTCATTATTTGCCTGGTTGTTGGATTCAGGGTAAGAAGAGCAAGGTGTCGACCAGCCGCCAGACGCAGGTAGCCACCAACACGCTGTCCAAGGCCGCCTTCCTCCTCACCGTCCTCAGTGAGCGGCTGGAGCTCCACAACCTGGCCTTCTGCACCGGCATGTTCTCTCTGGAGCTGCAGAGACCCCCGGCCTCCACCAAAGCTCTGGAGGTCTGTCACTCTCGCATACATAAATACTCAAACTATTCATTCAATGATTGTAGAATAACTTTTATTGTTATTTGTATATGTTATCAAATAATTACGCTTTAAAATATTAAGGTTTGAATGCATAATTTATTATTTAAGTATATTCAATAAAGGCCAATCCTGTGTAAATGCTGTTTATCCACTAGCATTTAGGGCCTGCTGGCTAGCTACTGCAGGGGGACAGGTTGAGGGGTTTTTACCGTAATGTCATAGAGACTTTGATTGACCTTAATCATGAGGCCTGTTAACTTATTCATGAGGTGTTTTAAATAACACAACACATTGAACAATTGACAAGATGGAACTAGATAATGTTTCTCTCACTGATTCAGCTTGGAGAAGCAGAAAAACAATAGATTGTCAAAATAATCATTACCAATACTTTTACGATAGGCTCATTGATATATTGAATCATTGTTTTGGCCCTAATGTTATGCCACTTTTTAATTTATTGCTTTACGCTGATGCATTTGTTCTGACTCAATAGTAATACATACTTTTCAGGGTAATACCAGGTCGTCGTCAATTGTCAGGTGCAACTTTTTAAATGGCCATCGGTACCTGACCTTCTTCTGAAATGAAGGACTCCGAGCTAGCAGCTGGTAGAATGAAGAGTTATCTGTCAGAATACTGAAGAGCTGCCACTGGGCCAAATGGTCTGAAAAGCTCAGTCAACATGAAAGAAAAGATATAGTGGCACGTACAGATTGTAGGGACAAAAGGCCCTGTTTTAAACCGCATTTGGAGGTCTCAGTGGCCGTACAATCTCTCTAAACATCGGCATATATAGTATGGATAAGAAGATTTTATATTTTTCCTCTGTCTTCTGGTATGTATGTTTGACTTGAGCATGACTCCCAAAATGTAAATAAAGTGAGAATGATCCTTTTGGGATGACTTCCTTTCCCCTGTATTAACTCCATGTATGTCTTACATGTATGGTGTGGTTGATACCTGTGTGTTGACCAGGTGAAGCTGGCCTACCAGGAGTCGGAGGTGGTGTCTCTGTTGAAGAAGATTCCTCTGGGCCTGGTGGAGATGTCGGCCATAAGAGAGAGGGGCGAGCAGCTACGAGACGGAAACTTCTGTGACTACAGGCCGGTGCTGCCGCTCATGCTGGCCAGCTTCATCTTCGATGTGCTGTGTACCCCAGGTAACCACCAACTGTTTCTCATCACGATTGAAAATCTTGAACTCTACTTAGGTAAGTAGTATATGCTGTCAAGACTGTTTTCAACCAATTGAAAAAGCCAATGTTTCATTGTCCAGTGGCAAGATCAAAGTGAGGAAGTTGCATGATGTAAATATCATGTTTTATATTTTCTTTCCCTGACAAAACGAAGATGTTTTTACTTGGGTGTATTGCCATCTGCTTTCATGCAAAGACCACATGGAATATATCAGAAAATCTGGCGCCTTAGGTCTTTCGGGGCGAGTGGAAAATCTTTTCTGTTTGTCACACCTCGGATTCTGAGTGTTCTACAGTCCTGCAATACTAATAATATTAGGTTACTTCCTGCAATTAAGTATTACTGTATGGTATCGTTTTTTCAATGGGAACTTCAAGAATTAACATCCCTTTCACTTTACTCCATATTGTTTGTGCAGTTGTGTCCCCAACTGGTTCCCGTCCACCAAGCCGTAACCGTAACAACGAGATGCCTGGAGATGAGGAGCTTGGCTTCGAGGCTGCCGTCGCTGCACTTGGTAAATGTGTTCCTTCACTTCTGTCTCGCTCTGCTTCTCAGTTTTGCTTTTTTCTCTCCTCACCACTTCTCTAATCCCCCTATTTGTACATTTGTCCACACTGTACACCCCCCTCCCCCTCACTTGCTGCTCTGATCTCTCCTCTGTGTGTCTAAAGGTATGAAGACCACAGTGAGTGAGGCGGAGCATCCTCTGCTGTGTGAAGGAACTCGGCGGGTAAAAGGTGACCTGGCTTTGGCTCTAATGATCACCTACAAGGACGACCAGAGCAAGCTCAAGAAGGTAGTCATCGAATCTCCTCATTACCATCCAACCGTTTGAATTTAAATTGGTTTTGACATGGTAACAGATAACAGTAAGCCAGGGTAAAGAATTCAACTGGCTTTTGAAATAGGGTTTCAGTTTTTACTACTTTCACATATATGGTATGCCAAATAGTCCCCCATAAGGAAATGTGTTAACACAAACGTATGTACATGTACACAGTTTGCACTCAGGTACACACAGACAACATACTGACAATGACGACCTATTGCACAACCCTCATGGCCAACAATTAAACTAGGCATTACACACATGTTTTTGGTGATTAAAGTGTTTTGGCATATGTTTATACTTGCATAAAACCTTACACGTATCACATATTTGATGATATATTATGATTATTTATATTTTTTATGAATTATTTTTCACAAAATGTTTTCAGTTCAAGAGCTAGAGGGACGTTATTCTGTACATTGTGCTACCTATTAAAGATTTTGATATAAATTACATTTTACACAACGTGAGGCACAGCGCCGGCAAAAACTGAACAGTGATCATCCTTTATGTGTCGGAAAGAGCAGCGAGGACTCACTCAACATTTAGTTTTTTTTTTAAAACGGAAGTGAAAATAAACACTATGTATTTAAAATGTTTATAAATATAACAAACCAATGGATGATACACAGCAAACGGACACACTCTGTTGCACGTTGGTAAAAGTGTCTCCTCACATCTCGTTTTCTGAGGTCAGAATTACTATTTATTTATTATAGGTATATATACAGTTGAGGCCTAAATGATTAGCCCCCCAGGAGTTATGGAACATTTTCCAGCATTGATAAAACTTGATACAATCAAAAATTCACCAGTGCTATTTACTAGCTTTTGGTACATTTTGGAAAGTAAAGTAAGTTTTTAGGCTCGCTTTATATCAAATAAAGTGAAAAATGGGTTAGCCCCCTGGCCATTAATAGTCAATAGTGTACCCAGGGGCGGCGGCGGGTACTGTAGGCTAGGGAAAGCTAAGCCTTCCCAAATATTTTTGTCACTACATCCTGGTAAAGAAAAATATAATGTTTGTGTCTTTGACATTAGCGCTGCTATGCAGTCACCTGTGCCCTGTACTACGAAGCCAGTTCAACAGACCCTGGATATGTTTGAGTTATCTTAACTAACCCTAACAAACGAGATCTCGCTAAGCGGTCCTACGACGCTGGTTATCAACTCGGTAAATCAAGCCAGGGTTTCTCTCTCCAGCTGACAGCGCCTTCACGTGAAAGGGGCGGGGTTAGCTACATTTGACCAATCACAAACAGGGATAAGTATACTGACAGCGCAGCGTCATACTTCATGAATAAAAAGTAAACTAATATGAGACAAATATGAACTTTAAACATCCATGATTTAAACATATAATCCAGGATACAAGCCACATAGTTGCACCTGCAAGGTGAATACAGAACAACTGGTTAAAAAATAACTACGAGTGTTTGAAAGCGTACAACAGGTTTATAATAGCACGAGTGGATCTGACTTTAATTACATTTGAGTTGAGTGTTTCGTAACACTTAAGTAACAACACAAGTAAGTCACATTAAGTAACTTAATGTGTTGCTTAAAATAATACGTCTGCATATATGTGACAATGTAGTTGATGCACGGCCAGATACGGCTCGAGAAGCTGGCTCAGATAAGGAAATATGATATATTATATGATCGATGTACTGATTGATGATGTGATATGAATGATACGTGCGACAGGTATTTCCTTTCTCCTGTAATATGACTAGATAGATTTAAACTCTGCACACTGAGCTCTGATTGGTCAGCAGGCGGTGCTTTCACTGAGAGTTGATCTCTTTTCTATAGACGCCGGAGGCGGGCAGTGTCAGGTAAAAAAAAGTGATTTAGCCTTCCCAAACCTGAGCCTCACGCGCCGCCTATGAATATGACAGTTTAATGGTGGAGGTATACACACATATTGATAGATGTCTTGTAATGCACTGTTGAGGAACCTGCGACCCAAGTTTTTCATTCATTGCATAACTACACCGTAGTTGTGTATAATATTATATGTCAATAAACCTTAGCTTAGAACATCTTGAAATCTTGAAAGGGATGTGTAAAATAGTCATTATAGATCTGACATCAACTATTAATTTAATTAACTATTAGTAGAG